AGCATTTTAAAACATTAATTGAGACGATCTTAAAGTGTAAATACCGATCGAAAGAGCTGCCTTATCTTTAAAATCTGTTATTGTAAAAGGATACTTTTGCAGCATCTATCATAAGACTCGTTTAGCAACCAGTTTACAATATTAGTTATGTCTCTTGGTAACGGATATCCAACACAATTATACACATTCTCCAAGTTCACAGCACCATAAGCGAACCATGTACTTTGAAGTACGCTTATTACTTTTCTCATATCACCACCGCTTAACGTTATTAACGCTTGCTTACCGTCTTCCGTAACTTTTAAACTAACAAAAGTTTTTCATTAACAAAAGATCTCGGGATAAAAAAGAATCAAGTAATTAGATATAAAATATATCTTTATTCACACACTTCTCCGCTTCAATAATGTGATTCAGTCTTGGTATCGCTTGTTCCGCTGCAAGAGGTAGGAATCTAAACCTGGTGCAACGAGAGCTGGAATAATCTTGCTGAGGTAGTTGCATATAATACAGAAACGCACATTAACCGTGTATTTCTCAATAACTAAAATTAATATTGGATTAACATTTATTTGTATTAATGTCTAATTAATAATATCTTACAATCCACATAAATATTGAGATAACATATTTACTTCTTCTGAGTGCATTCTGAGCATCGTTCGTCGTAGCATCGGCTTCATCCAGGATAATTAATTTAAACGCAGATTTATACATAGCGCCTCTACTGGCAAAACTCAGGATTTGGTCTCGCACGATGCCTATACCTCTATCATCGGAAGCATTTAATTCTAATACTTAAATACATGTAAGTAAAGTAAGGAAAGTAAGGAATGAAATGAAGAGATATGGAATTATTCAGTGACAAATACACAACCACTGAATTGAACTGAGCTGGAGTATAGAGTTTACGAGCACACGCTAGTATAGTACTAGTCTTTCCTGTCCCAGGTGGTCCATAGAGGAGAAGATGTGGCAGTTGATTCTCATCAATAAACTTGTTTACTGTAACAAGCAATTCCTTTCTCATCTTATAATAAAATGCCTTACACACATTTACACGTCCTGCGTTTAGTTGCGTTCTCGTTTACTTACTCGTCTTTATTATCGTCTCATGGGAAATAAGCTCATCCAGGCTTTTAGGACGATACTTTTCGACCCTGAAATACAAGATTCTCAGTCGGTGTTGTCCTTGTTGTCGACGTCCCAAGCTTCGTACTCACCATGGTAAATTTACTTGTTCATCGCTGGACGTCATCGTGTCATAAAATCGTCGGCTCTCAATATCTCGTTTGACTTTTCTTGGAGTAATATCCACCGATTAGTGGAAGTGGAGGGTAATGCGCCTTTGGCTTTTAAGGTTATATCACGCTCGAACCGTTTGAATAATTTGAAGGTTATACTTTTGCCGCGAGTTTCGCCGGTTGCTCCGATTGCGCAGAATATGGCGACGCAGTCACACTTTGTGTTGTGTGTTTCACAAACGTGAAATCGTTCCAACACGCGTCTACTTATCGCACTCGTGTTCAAATTTAATCTTCTCTTAACAGAATTGCTGATTCACAAAAAAATTGATTATCAGGTAACATTGGAAAGTATATTGTTTTCAAACTACGAAAGTTCTATAATCTTCAAGTGTGGATATGAATTATTTGTGGAGTCTCTGAACTCTCGTCACTCTTCTGGCCTCGCAAACTCGATCGACACCTGTTTTTAAATCAAACTTCAACAGCAAGAACGTCTACATTGTGGAGAGCAATTATTTTTATTTCCTTTTTTTTATATTTAAAAAAGTGAAAGTTTTATCCACTGGTGTGCAAATAAAAAAGCATATATATTACTCTCTAAAATTTTTAGAGTGAATCTTACCCTAAAGAATGAATTAATCTCACTCTTAGGCCCGATTCTATCGATGTAAAATTAACTTTCATTTCGGTTCATTTTATCTTTTTCTAATTCTAAAAATTAAAAAAAGAAGAACAGTAAGTTAAGATCGAGGTTAATCTTATGTTGGAGAAACTAGACCTTAAAGACTGAAAATTGTGTCTCTTTTTTCGTATTGGCTCAATTTTTACACTCTTTAGAGAGTGCGAGATCTCCTCCAAAGAATTTAAAGAATAATTAAGCCTTAAGCGATTTCCCTTTTTATGTCAAAAGTAGAAATTCTTATCCTATAACCAGTGTGCGATAAAAACATTGGTCCATTGCAGTTAAGGCGATGCTAAAGCTCCCTGTTTTACCACATTTCTATTCGGTGAAAAATCTCTGTATTGGATGTACGGATTGCAAAAGTATTATTACTTAAATTATAGTACGCATCAACAGGACCTCAGCTGCACTGGATTTTATGAGAAAATCGAAAAAAAATTAAAAATTCACTTACTTTTGGCTCGTACAGCTGTCACCTCAGATATGTATTTGATATAAGAGTTTTAGAGTCCATATCTTGAAAATAAGCGTGCAGCTGAGGTCACATTATTGAAACGAACGATACTGAGTTTGTAGAACTAAGATTGAAAGTCTAGAAAAGCAATATTTCCACCGAATAGAAAATACGTGTATACTGATGCTTTGCGAAGACGGGGACTGTCAACAGAGCCGAAATTCCGTGTAGCAGTAGTTGCGCGGTCTTGCGATAGATGGTGCTGGCATATGTTAGATAAGAACAGACGTATGCGTTTGAGTAAGACAGAATGATATACATTATATAATATAATGTAAAAACTAAATCAAAGATGTCACCACTATTATCGAATTTGGAATTAAAAGAGTCTGTACTATCGACCTTGATTGAGTTGGGTAATCGGTTTAGCATCCCCTTAAGGGGATGCTGGAATCTTCTTTTTAACCGATAAAGCAAGCGTTTATGTTCCTTGCGCAGTTCTTCGAATTAGTTGTACAGAACAAAAATTCTTTCTCCACGATTGAAATATCCGTGCTAATGTACCTGCTCCTGGTGTATTTTGTGTCCAAAACTGGGAAAAATAATAAATTACAGATTCCTGTATCCATGTGCTATCAGCTCACCAAACATTTACTTCGTGAAAAAATTATATGCACGTTATATGCTCGAAATTAGGGCAGGAGCACATGTAGAATAAATAGACGATTACAGTCGTATCTTTAGAATTAAGTTTTGACGCCTAAATAAAAAGATTAGCGCAAGGAACGAAATTGTGTGTCTAGCGCGTGAGAAATCGACGATGTATGACTGTTTAGCCATGAAACCGAGCAGTATTTTAGATGATCTCTTTCTAAGAGATGGCGCTGCAATATGTTAGATAAGGACAGATGAATGCGTTTGAGTGAGACACAACGATATATAGGCTGCGGTCCACTTAGCGCTTCAAACGCTACAGAGCATTTGTAGTACTGATATGACTGGTCCATTTGATGCTTCAGAACGCTCCCAACAAATCTGATTACGTCATCAATACGTCATCGTTTTTGCTCCCACTTCGCTTCAACTGCCTCACCTCGGGAGATGGGTTGGCTGGAGCGTTCACGTAGCAATTGTAGCGTTCGAAATAGTAATGGACCAATCGGAGCGTAGCATTTGGAGCGTAACGTTCAGAGCATTTGGAAGAAGCAAGTGGACCGCAGCCATAATAAGTATAAAAAATGAATGAAAGATGTCACTATTGTCGAATTTGGAATTTAAAAAAGTCTGTACTATCGACCTTGATTAATAACTTCGACCGTCACTCCAGCATCCCCTTAAAGGTAAATTTTCACGGGCTGCTCAAACCGGCTGTTTCAGCGACAAAAAGAATCACGTGGTCAAAATTGACGAATATCAAATGTCCATTTTGATCACGTGATCCTTTTTGTCGCTAAAATAGCCAGTTAGAGCAGCTCGTGAAAATTTACCTTAAGGGTTAAGGCTACTCGAGATAGTGTTTAATCACATGTTTCGCAGTTTCGATAGCGATTCGTACGCCAATAACCTTGATATAATAATAAATACAGCATATTTTGCATAAAATTTAATCTCGTGATAAATTCATTCTCAATTGATTGAACAAACAAGTTCAATCAGGTTACTGAAAAACTGAATAAATAAGGGACGAACTAGGCCAAGCGACTTGATCTAAAAATATTTATTTTGTTTGGGAACTACATAGGGACACGATTCACTCGTACGTAGGGATAAGTATGGCTCATCGAATTCTCCAAAGGTATTGCCCAGAACGATGATCAATCGTTCCCACGAGGTAGTACAAAAGTTTGAATACCTTCTTGTAATGGACTTTGAGGCCACGTGTGAGAGGTATACGGTGCTCAAGCCGCAGGAGATTACTCGAGCTACCATGCGCGCGGTGCTGTCCATCTGTGATTGGAAACCGAAGGAAGGATATGTTTCGTACATATGTGAAACCCAGATGTCCATCCCACCCTCACGCCATTCTGCACAGAATTAACTGGGATCATGGCGAGAGACTGTGGATGATCAGCCTTACTTCGCGGACGTGTTTTCAACTTCTGCGAGTGGTTGACTAAAGGAGGATACTTTGACAAACCTGAGAAAAGCTCGTTCATCACGGGCGGTAATTGGGATTTAAAAATGATGCTGCCGAGTCAGTGCGATTTAGATGGTATTACGTTACCGGATTAGTTCAAGCAATGGGTAGAGTTGAAGTATTATACATATTTTGCGAATCTACCGGATATTACCCTAAGGGCTTAAAGGACATGCTTGCGCGATTGAATGTTCCATTAAAGGAGGGACGTCTACATTCAGGGATTGACAATGTAAAAAATATGGTATCGATAATACTACCTTTAAAAGAGAAATACAACACGCAATTTATATATATAAAATTACTTCATCATTAACAACTTCTGCGATAAACTTAAGTAACAGTTACAAACAGACTGAAATAGGAATGTATTGAAGAAAAACACGTGACAGTGTGTTTGTTAAAAATTATTAATAAAATATCGTTTTTGTAAAACTCTTAAATTACAATAATTATATAAATAAATATTATTTTTCTCGCATAACCGATTAATTATTATCGCCTCACTGTGACTTGTTAATCAACACATCCTGTTTATTGTTTTCTGTATAAATCGCAAGTACAGCCTGCATATTACGATCTAGTTTCTGTGAACACTGTATCTTTAAAGGAAAACTCTCTTTGCTAGGTATATAACATTCCTTCTGCGGGAACAACACTGAAATAATCTGAATTTGATTGAGACTGGTCTGAAATGGCTCGGCTGTTTTGAAAAAGCTAAGAATAGTCACTCATTGCTTCATTCTTTACTGGAGGAGGAGTCAGAGCGATGATGGACGGAGTTACAGTGAATTGATCTCCTTGCAATTCAGGGTATTGAACTTCATATTCTATAGTTCTGTGTAATAAAATATTAACAAGATATTTTAATAAGAAATCTTTAAGTTGACATAGTTATAAGCGTAATAAGAAATATGCATACTAGAAGAAAAATACAAATAAAAAGATCTCTTACTGAGAAGCTAAGAAACTTCTCGCACCACCTGCTTCATCTAAATGAGTAGTGAGTCGCTTATAAGAGACCCCGATACATCTCCGATCTTCATCGGTATCATAATGAACAGGCAAAGTATCATCCGCGCATGCTTCCACTGTGAGCATTATCTCATGATTGATGAACGCCAGTACATAGATCTCATTTAGGTTTAGCTATTTAAATACACTCCGTCATTATTACATAAATGGTAATGAGGCTAAATAATATAATTGTATATACTTACGATAGAATCGCGAATTAATTGGTTATGCCAGGAATTAGTTCTCCAAGAAAAATTTTACATATAAGATGCACAATATTCTCGAATGCTTCATTGTCATTTCCAATCGATTCACCCGACTATTTCAATTTATTATATAATCTGACAAAAAAAGTACATGTTTACCAGTTTGAAAATTAGTGCCAATAAATGTCTATTTGTCTGAATACATAGCGTACGTTTTATTCCACGTATTCGCTAACGGGTTGGTTCATCGGCGTAAATAACATTTATCGTTGCCACATGCGAAACTTCCGAACGTTGCAATGACGCAAAGTCTTCTTTCTTTGGACGAAATTGTATTGTTACTTCTTGAGATTCTTTAGGATTAAGTATTATTTCTTTTGGATTTATACGCCAACTAGAATCCATTATTGGAGAAATAACTAAAATATACAAATGCGTTTATTCCTACGTAACTCATTTTAATATGTAATATATAAATAGAATTAGTTTAGTCAAATCTTTAGGTATGATTGTGACTTTGGCAAATGAACGTAAGTTGCCAATGTTATCCAGTCTAACACTAGCGTTCAAAGTCATAGTTTCAGAATATAAATTGCCAAGAGACAACCATAATTTTTTGCTCGAATCTTTAAATAGTCCCGAAATTTTTACTTTACCGCAACCTCCGTATCCATACAAAGGTATCCAGGGAATGGAAAGTTACTTTTTAAAAGTAACAAGTTACAGTTACTCGTTACCGAGTAGGAAAAGTAACAAGTTACCGTTACTAGTTACCGATTTTTAAAAGTAACTCGTTACAGTTACCGTTACTTGAGAAAGTAACTTTTCGTTACTTTTCCGTTACTTTTTTTTAAATCGACGACCAACAATCATAGCGGACGAGCCTAGAGGCTTCTCTAATCTCAAGCGCATTGTAAAAAATTGTGTAAAATTATAACTATTATGCTGGATAATTTTGAGATCCACTA